AAAAAAAAAAGAAAAAGAAAAAGAAAAAGAAAAAAAGAAATTAACTCACAGCCAGTTCTGGTACATCTGCACCCTCCTCCACCTCTTCACCGGCTGCTTCCTGCGCATCTCAATCGGACTCCACGTCGACCGCAAACTGCTCGAGCGGCCGTCGTACTCGGCGCGCAAGCGGTACGCGTGTCTGGGCACGCTCGCCGCTTCCCTCGCCGTCACCCTCGCCATGTGCGGCTTCCTCGTCTTCGCCCAGTGCCGCCCGCTGCCGGCGTACTGGTCGCGCGTCCGCCCCGCCGCTGCCGCGCACTGCGCAGACCCGCGCGCCGTCGCCGCCGCCTGGCACGCCTTCACGGCCTTCACCGCGCTCGCCGATGCCGTCATGGCGCGCTACCTGGTTGTCGATTTCCGTGCCGGCACGCCCGCGTGGCTGCAGCGTGGACACGTGCTGCTCGCACTTGTAGTCGCGTTTTCTGTCGTGTAAGTCCCCACCAAAACCTACCTATCTCCTCCACACACACGCTAACACCCACCCCCCGCACAACAGCTCCATCGCCGCCTCAATAGCGCAATCCGTCTCCGCTGCCCGCCTGCGCAACACAGCAGACCTGACGGCCGCAAGCACGCCCTTCGCCATCTGCGCGCTCCTGGCGCCGACGGCCGGGTTCGTCGCCGCCACGCTCGCGTCTATGGGCCCTTGGCTCCGCAGCCTCGATCTTGATGCGCCGAGTGTTATGGATGTGACGTTGTGGAAGGGGCGGAGGGGTGGGGCGCGCGTGGGGTGTGGTGGGGGGGAGGCGGGCTTGGGGGGTTTGGGGTCTGCTGCGGCGGAGAGGAAGGGGCGGTGCTGGAGGTGGTGTAAGGGGTGGGTGCGGTGGGTGAGGGAGAGGGCGGCGCGCACAGAAGTGCAGGAGATTACGCCGGCGCGGGGGAGTCGGGGTGGGGGATTGGTGTTGGAGGAGCTGGGGGGCGTGCAGCAGGTGCATCTGCGGCCGGAGCGTTGTGAACATAGTAGGTAGGTAGGTGCGTGGGTGGGTGCCGGCACGGTGCTGCAGCACGCACATACAACTTGCTATCCCGACTTCTTGGCGAAAGAAAAAACAGTTACTGTCTTCGTCCTCTCGCTCCCGTAAATCAACACTAATGTTTCTTTGTAACTTACTGACATGTGGCAAATGGATTGATCGATCTTCAATAGAGAAGTAAAGCAGCCAAGTCCGCCATACTTATACGCACGCACCTACGTACGTATACAAGAAAGCAAAAAAAAAAAAAAACGAAACCCATCAAACGACCTCGATCAAAATTTCCACCATTTCCCGTTCCGAGAAATCCCCGGTCCTGCGGGCTTTTTCGAAGACGACATGGCAATGTAGCTGGCACCTAGTGTAAGCCCTAAGGTAGGTAGGTACGAGTCTAGAGACGCCTTGTGTTGTGCGAATAGAATAGTCCGTACAACTGTCCGTTTCCTGGCTCTATACGGATTACTAGGGTCTAGCAAACAGGTCTCTGAAAGTTAGGTACAGAGGACGCAAAACAGCGTTGCCATGGCGACAGCGACACTCACTTCCGGGTTCAGGCGCCGTGCCGAATGTTCCGTGGAGCGCGACTCGGGTTTTCCTTCCTGGATAGCACCGAGAAGCGCGCCGTTTACAAGAGCAAAGAGCTGTGTACTGTAGGTACCTGCATGGTCGGCTTCGGCTGCCAATCGAGTGTCGGTTCTATACGCTGGTGACGAGGGGCGTGCGACGTACTACGTAGGGCTGCCCGCCAGACCGCTGGTGCCGCCGTCTGGGGTCACTTAATTGCTCAGCAACTACCTACAGTGATTGTGATTACTATCAGTGGCAGCCGTGCTCTGCTCTTGGCGATGTAGGAGTCATCCGAAGTGAGGGAGGCCTTTCTTTTCGTTCCCTTTCTTTTGCTCTCGTCCTTTCCTTTCCTTTCCTTTCCCTCTCCCGTCTCTCCCACCTTCTCTCCAACCCACCCAACTCAACTCCCACCACCCACAAAGCAAACATGTCTCAAACACCGAACCAAACGCTGCAAAACAGCGGCGCCAACTTCACCCCCACAATCCACACCGACACATACCCCTACATTGCCGCCCGCACCGCCAACCTCGCCGGCAAAGCCGTCTTCATCACCGGCGCCTCGCGGGGCATCGGGCGCGCGACCGCGCTGTCCTTCGCGCGCGCCGGCGCCTCCCACATCGCCATCGCAGCGCGCGGGTCCCTCGCACACCTCGAGGCCGAGCTGCAAGCGGCCGCGCAAAGCGCCGGCAAGCCCGTGCCGCAGACGCTGAGCGTCGCGGTCGACGTGACGGACGCAGCATCCGTCGCCGCAGCCGTGGCAGCCATTGAAGCCGCGTTCGGGCGCCTGGACGTCCTGGTCAACAATGCAGGGTACCTGGAGACGTTCGCGCCGCTCGCGGACACGGACCCGGCCGACTGGTGGCGCGCGTGGGAGATCAACGTCAAAGGCCCGTTTCTGGTGACGCGGGCGCTGCTGCCGCTGCTGCTGCGCAGCGAGAATGGCGATAAGACGGTTATTTCCGTCTCCAGTATTACGGCGCATATGCTGCAGTGCGGCGGCAGCGCGTACATGACGAGCAAGCTGGCGCTGCTGCGCTTGCATGAGTTTGTTTGCGCGGAGTACGGCGGCCAGGGCGTGCTTGCTTATTGCATTCATCCCGGTGCGGTTGTTACCGATTTGGCGAATGGTATGCCTGAGGAGTCGAAGCATATCCTCATTGATCAGCCGCAGCTGGCGGCGGATACCTTGGTTTGGCTGTGTAAAGAGAGGAGGGAGTGGTTGGCGGGCAGGTATGTGAGCTCTACGTGGGATATGGAGGAGTTGCTGGGGAAGAGGGAGGAGGTTGTTAAGGGTGATTTGTTGAAGGTGAGGATGGCGGTTGTGGAGGGGAATTAGGTGCGTGTGTGGTGGGGGGGCTGGGTGGTGGATGATGGATGGTAGACGATAGACGATAGACGGTAGATGATAGACGCATAGACGGCACAAGAACACCGCGAATAGAACAAACAAACAAACAAACACAATCAATCGCACTCAACAGCACTTTATTACCACCACACCAACCCACCAGCAGCTCCGTATCAAGCAATGGAAAGAACCTACAAGCATCATCTTCGCCGCTTATCAATTTCCTCTGCCGGAAGCTCATGTACATTCCCCTCCACATCACCACCAACCGCCAGCTCCTGTGGCTGAGTGTGAGGATCCGCTTCCAGCTCCTGCAATGAACATCCTCCGAGCTCCAGTTCCTGCGCCGGCAACTCCGAGATCTGGTTTCCTTCTGATGGAAGCTCTGTAGCAAGAAGCTCTGTAGGCTGAATGTCTCCTTTCTCTTGCTCTGATACTGTAGCTTCTTGTACTTGGTGCTGCTTTCGCTTTCGCTGTCGCTGTCGCAGGAGCAGCAAGATCAGTGCTATGGTTGTGATGAGTGCTGTTATAGGGAGGACGACGGAGAGCGATATTATGACCGCGGAGCTGGGTCCTTTGGTTTTGGGTGTTGTAAGTCTGGAATCTGGGGTTGTAGAGGCATCAGATGTCAGAGCGGCTTTTGCAGCCGTCCGGTCTTCCGCTCGCCAGTTCAGCTGGATCAGTGGTGCCTGGAGGAGGATATTTGTTACAGCAGACTTTTTGTGCGAGTACGGTAGACTCATCACTGTTATGGTGCCTGGTTTACTCTCACCACAGGTCGTGATAGTAGCAGATGTCGATCCTATTGTCTGTGCGCAAGTCTGCCGTCCGTTGGCGAAGATGCAGTTGTATCCCCTAAAGGGAAAGATCAGCTTTGATGGTTTCATTGATAAAGTTGCTCTTACACGGGGCAACATCCCACTATGGTTTCCCCTTGTAATGCAGAATACTGGAAACCGAATCTAGGTGCGCCATTGTACTGAGCGCTAGATGAGACGATAGTGGCGCATGCAAGTGCCCAGCCGACTGGACATAGAGAGGCTGCTGCCGGAGAATAGAACCCTCGCGTTTGGAGTATCGATCCGCTTCTTCCTGCTGTGACGGATGGCCAGCATGACGCTAGATCGAACGTGTTCTTGTTACTGCATCCTTTCCCTTGTCCCCCTATCAAAAACGTCTCTGTAGAGGAAGATATCCCGGTACTAAGTACGTATTTGGAGCACCAGGTAGGTTGCAAGAATGCGTTAGCCAAGGGACCTAGAATCACTCTTCCTGTCTCGACGGAGTTGGACCAGTCGGTTACCTAGGCTAGTTAGTATCGTGGAAGCTCTTATTGTTAACCACTGTTTTAGCTTACAGTGACTAATACTACAGTACCACCTATGTATTCGGTTCTGAACTCGGTCACGATAAGGGTATACAAAAGGCTAGTAGGTTTGAGCAAAGCATAGCTCGTGGTAGCGGGGTAGGGTCCCGGTGGCCGTTCGACTAATGAATGCATTTTGCGAGTGTCGTAGGAAGACGTGATACGAATAAACAGCAAGCGATGAAGCACTAGATCTGGATTTTGAGGAGAGTTCGAATAACTTGAATGTGACGTGTAAAGTTTCAATGGCTAGATGAAGAGAAGGTCTGGTTCATGTGACCAGAACGTTGTCGCTTGATATTCGGCGTCCAAAGAACGAACAAAGACGCGCTTGAGACGCTTTTGTGGAGTTGTGCAAATGGACTGAGTTTCAGGTACGATTGTTTGTCCTGTTCGTGAAGAATAAGGGTCTTGACTGTGTTGTAGAAATAATCTTTCTGAAGAACCCCGCTTTGCGAAATTGGGACACAAGTGTTGTACAGTACCACCAATGCCTCTCAAAAGCAAACAATCGACAAACCTGAACTAATAAAGAGAAGAAGGATTTCAATACAAACGAAACATCGAACTATAATCCAGTGAGAGCTTCTGTCATATGCGCCTGAGCAAATTCAAGAACATTGCCGGTACACACCGAAGAGAAAAACGCCATAGGGCTACTCAAATCTACGAAATATTCAGACCACACCTCCATTCTCACCTGCACTCGCCACTGGTACCCGAAGCAGCAGCCGGAACCCTCACATCAATACCGTACCTTCCACCCGGCCACCACCCAAGACTAAAGACCAATCCCTTCCAAACGCCTCTTCGCTCCATCTCTTCATCGTCCATCCATTCCACGCCATCTGGTAGCAACCCGCGAGTCTCTCTGTTTGGCCTGGGCTCAAAGTTAGAGGATTCGGGTGCATGCTCCTCCACCTCAGGCTCAAGCAGTGTTTGGTTCTCCCGGAGGCGCTGTTCTGGTTCGTGGGCTTCCTCTGCAGGGCTTTGCTCAGACTGGTTGATGACTGAAATTTGGCTTGTCGAGCTGTGGTCGGACTCGTGTTCTGAATGGTTGAGAGAGGGATTCTGGTCGTTGTGGTCCTCTCTTTGAGGACTAGGCGTATCATCCACCTCTTCTAACCCAGGTATCTCAACACGCGGTGCTGCTAGTGGCAGAGCCTCTGAACGCAGGGTGTCATCCTCTCTTCCTGTCTCTCTTACCTCATCACTTGATGCCACTTCTGGTTGAGTCTCCTCTGAACGATGTGTATCATCTTCTCCTTCTGCCTCTCGTACCTCACTAGTTGACGCCGCTTCTGGTTGTATCTCTGAATGAAGCGTGATATCTTCTTCTTCTTCTTCTTCTGAACTCCGTATCTCCATGGTTGGTACTGCTGCTTGTTGAGTCTCTGGACTAGGCGCATCATCCAGTGTTTGTGGCTCTAGTACCTCAGCACTTGACACCATTCCTGGTTGAGACTCATCCGGACGAAGCATGCCATCGTCTCCTTCTGATCCTTGTGTCTCTCTACTTGGAACTGCGTCTGGCTGACTCTCCTCCGGAGTAGTATCATGTTCTCGTTCCGGACCAGAAACTTCCGCTTCTGCTCTTGAACCACCACTGCCCCAAAGCTGGCTTCCAGCAAGCAAAGTCGCCACGCCAGCAATAGAGCATGGATCGTGAAACAGTAAGCTGGTGGTACGCAGGCTGACCCAAGATACGACGCCACAAACGAACATGACTGCCAGCATAATCTGCAGTGCCAGCTTCGGTCGTGCTTTCTGTACCAGCCTGAGGTTATTGCCGTGGAGCTTGCCTTGTATAGTCTGCTCAATAGAAAGCCGTTGTGCTGTACTGGCGTTCAAAGTCTCTCGCATCTTGAGTGACAGCAATTGCGCCATATAAAGGCTGTACATCTCCGTCGTTGCATTTACCAAGCGCCCGATGTTTGCTTGGCCAATGAGTTCATTGGCAGGGATGCCGTACTTGCCGTAGACGACAGCGAAGTAGAACTGGCCAAGTGATGGGCTCAGGTTATCCGCTTTGTCTGCTACGGCCTCGAATGTGTTGGACATCGAATAAGTAATAGGGTACTGGAAAGTTTTGGAACCATTTGTAGCTTCATTGCCCACGTAGCGGATGGTTGACTCGTCCGGGACTGGAGGGTTGGATTTATCGATGTGGAAATCTGGCAGTAGGAAATTGACTTTCGTGTCTATTTCTTGTATCTGCTGAGTGCAAGTAAAGGCTGAGATCTGCGGTGTATCTTGGCTGAAGTCTCCGAAATAGAATGACAATGACTGACAACCATCTGAAATATCACGGACGGTGGAAAACCGTGTGGAATCACTTCCGTGAAACAACACGTGTCCATCTTCTAATGTTCGATCCAGTTGGCTCATTCGTCCCCCGATAGACTTAACTTCTCGTGCTACAATTTCGTATGGTGCTTTAGCTCCATCGTCGTCGACACAAGTGTTCAGTGTCTGTAAGCGGAGGAGTGTGATAGATGATGATTCGGATTGTTTTGTATATTCCATCTCCTTGGGGTCGACAATTGTGCAGTTCAGAGTTCCCCTCAGAGCTGGTAGGGTTGCTTCGAGTCTTGTCCTTTCCCTGGCTTTTACATCGTCGATAAGTAGGGATGGGAATGCCAGGGTTCCATAGGTCCATTTGGGATAGGAAATATTTTGCCAGACAATGCTGCGTAAAGTAGAGCCGGCAAAGTTATCAGCATATACGTCTCCATCCCATATGGTCCCAAAGCGATCGAGTCGCTTTAGGGAGATTGGTAGAGGAGAATCCACACGGTCCAATGTGTAGAGGCCTGATACTGCAACGGTAAGGAGAGCACCAATCATAGCAGCAATGGCCGTTGCGCACGAAGCAAAGTATCCTTTCTTGGCAGATGAAAATATTGAGAAAAGCGGTAATCGTCCAAGGTCTTTACTTAGTATGCTGCGGTTTGCAGTCGAACCACCAGTTCGCAAGGCCCGATATGGTGACAAGAGCACAACGTTGAAATTCTGTGATGAGTACATTGCAGCCACCCCTGTCATGACTAAAGTTGGAATATAAGTTGAGGCAGCCGTCCCGAGATTCGACGAAGCGACGTTAGTGAAGCCGTGAGAGCGGTTGGAGATGCGCTGGATAACCTCCAGAACTATGATGATAGCCGCAGTGACAATGAGTGTAGCAATTCTTGACCAAAAATTGAGTGTCAGAGGTTGCCACCCCTTCTTTTTTCCAGTGTTAGATTTTTTGTCGGATGGCTCCTGATTCAAGTCTTTTTCACCGGTACAAGAAACTTGATATGCTCCAGTCTCTGCAACAATAGTACCAATCAGTCTTTGGCCAGCAAAAGCGTCTTTGTTCTCCTGTAGAGAGTATTTGAATACGCTCTTGAGTTGTGTACTGGAGTGCAAAATTGCTGCAATACCACCGATACTGTTAGGGTCGCGCGGTGCTGCATTCCACGGTCTAGCGCATAGCATAAAAAGTGAGAGGATCGAGCACAGACCGAAACAAATAGCAATAGCTATGACGGAAGTGAGTTTTACCTGGAGACGTTCAGCTTCATAATCGACGAAGCCGTTCACAGCTTTGTAATGAGGGTTTAGTAGACTCAATGCAGCTATCTGAACAGCCATTCCCTTGAATGTCGCTTCTGTTTGTTTGATCAAGACATCTGTGTCTAATAGGTCCTTCATATAAGGTGCCGTAGGCTCAAAAATTCCTTGAGATGTGGGTAATGAGACCAGTTTTAAGAAACCGTTGTTGTTATCGGACGATGACGAAGGAAACCTTACGCTTTTGGAATGATTTAAGACGGCTTGGAAGAGGTCCATGGGGTCCAGGGTGGAGGATCTGAATGATCGATCCGTTTCGTTTTTTTCTTGTCTAGTTTCAACGGTCAAAACTTGGAGAAAATTGTCCACTTTGACAAATAAAGGTTTGAGAGAGTAATTTGGTTGACATATCGCTCCGCTGAAATGACCTGTTAGCTGAAGCGCCTCACAGTATAGGGTGTGTAACCAATTAATCGAGCCCACCTGTAATCGAAGTCATCGACACTACTGCCATGGGTAACAACGATGAGATATTTTTGACTTTTACCACAAGATACAAGTTCCGTTACGCCATCGTAATAATCATATGTGTCGTCTTTTGGCCCCCCTGGGCCCCCATGAATTCTTTGAAGAGTTATGGTGGTAGAAGCATTGCAAGACGACGATTGTAGAGTTATATCAAGCACATATGGGCTTGTTTGGTATGATGTGGGATGGGCCCACTTGTCTTTAAGCGTTACCTTTTCGCAATCAAGCCATGGGTAAAATGCCATAACTTCTCCAGCATATCGTTTCGCAGTCCGTTTCATGACAGAACCTATAGGCTGAAATGGCTCTAATGCATAGTCCTCGAAAGTCCAGTCTGGGTAGCTCATGTTTGCTGTATGGATGCTTTGGTAAATTGCACCAGCACTATTTCCATGATCGGACGAGTTCAATGCCGAAGGGTCAAACTCAGCTTGCTTTGACACAACGAGGCCATTGGAAGTAAGCTCCGTCAATTCGAGTGTCATTAGACCGGTGGAGAAAACCCTCTAGACTGTATGTCAGTGCTTGTATAAATACCAGTGATGACTTGCCTTACAGCTATCTGCAATGCTATACAAACTGTAACTGTTATAGCAGCGGCCCATTCGCGATGCCTTAGTGCAGATGCCCAGTATACTGGTTGCATCGGAGATATCAAATCCAAGAAAATGGTGCGGTTGGCTGGCGCTGTATGTTTTCGAAGATTTTCCCAAGGCTGAAGTAGTCTGGTGGAATAATCGACCTGGCCCCAAACAGCCATAAGAAGGACAGTGACTATAAATTGTATTGTTAGAATACTACTGTGAGGAAACAAGATTTATTAGCATCGAGAAACTTACCAGATGTTGGAAGATACTTCCAAAAGTATTCAACTTCCATGCGCTTGGTATAAGTTCCCAGGCCATGCTTGCTAGTAGAGATGCAATAAAGAACAACAATCGCAGCAGATAGAGCCGCGAACAATATTGAGAAAGTACCTAGGACGTAGCGGCCGAGCCAGATAGGATTCCAAAACGCATAAGAAGTAGTATCATTATGCTTTAAAGCCTCTTCTGAGTTTGCGTGACCGGGGAGCTCAGTGGAGGTACGCGATTGAGAAACCAAAAGGGTTGCAACTGCTCTTGCTGTCTGGGGATGGGGAGATGGGCCGTGTGAATCAGAGTCGTTGTCCATGGCCGAAGTGTAGTCGCGAAGGTTGTTGCAGCCGCTGTAGGTATCTGTGGTGATTTTAGATGGAATGAATGTCAAAAAGCCAACGCCAGATGCTGTTTATATATCCGCAGTCCACCTCACTGGGAGAAATGTTTCTCTCACCGCAACCCACCACCAGAAACTCAACATTGAGGTTGTCACACCACCCATATTTAGTACCCACTTATAACCATCAGAACGACTAGAGTGTTCATTTGCCTTGCTCGACGAGGCAAGCATCGTGAAACCGTCGATGAGTCCACTACCGCCAAGCGTTGCTGTAATTGAGATTGCGAGCCTCAGCCTGATTCTGCCATCTCAAGCTGACGCCCCTGTGAAAAACTAAATTTGTCGTACGTAAAGCGAGAGCTCAGCCTTGTATTACACCCGAGGGTGAGCTAATTGCACCGTCCCTTTTCTTTAAACGTACCAACACACCTTCATCGTATCGATTCGACAACTCCTGGATTAGAACTCGAGAAGAAGTGGGGTCTTCGCTATGCTTAAATCATTAACACATGAGTAATCTCGTCGATATGCGTACTGTTGGAGCGTAAGGGACGTGGGAAGAATGTATATCGCGAGTGGGCTGAGTAGCTGGGGACACGTGGAGGAGTGTTTAAGTGGAGGAGGGGGCGCGCAGATGGAGGCGGAGGAGGCTACAATAAATCTGTCGTGTAACCTGTTCGCAAGCGCCCATGTGACGCGCACTTATCTATGACGTATCAGTGTACAACATACCCGGTATATCCACTCCCACAACTTCCTACTTCCGTCTATTTTAGTTCCCACGACCCTGCGAATTATTGGCCCACGACAGCAGGCAAACCAATCCATCAATCAGGCAGCGGTTTTGCCTTGAGAAACAACCAAATGCGCTGAGCCGCTGGTGTGAGCGACGTCATCCCAATGTCTCAGCCTGACACTCTTCCATACTGAACTGCTTGACAGTCCACGACACGGTTGATAGACGAGAATAGTGAGCGCCGTGTGCCCTCGCCAGGCTGAAACAGCCCTGTTTTCTGCCCCCTCGGCACATTTCCACGTCAGCTGGCACCGAATCTTCGGGTTGGAGACCGACATATAAAAGGGACAAGTTGCACACATTCTGGGGCGACAAGGCTGTAAATTGCTGAACTCATGCTATGACCTATGTGGACTATCTTACTACAACTCTAGCAAACCTCGAGTCCTCGTTGCGAAATTACAATGAAGACATAGCCGAAGTATTTTTCTAAGCATCCCGCATATGCTACTCGGAGAAACATATCAAAACTGAAAGGGCCGTTATGTACACTTTTTTTTCTTCACTAAATCTTCTAAACCTTATCATACACTCTGGCAATAAACTTAGATAACTTAATAATACTTAGGCGTTTTACTAACTCCTACTCTCTTCTCAACCGGCCTAGATTCTACCTCCTGAACAATCGAAAATCACCTAACTCCCTCCTCGCTGTGTCCTGAAGCTCAGCAGGCTTTGTACTACCAGCATCGAGCTCGTATCTTGATGCACCATGTGAGCTTTCCAGCTCTTCCACAAGCTGGTACCGACCTCCATCGCTCACGGCTGAGTTCATAACATCACCATCTATCCACTCGTTACCCTCCGCGCCACTTACTGGCCCCTCAGACGGAAGCGGGTGTCGCTTTTGAAGCTTGTACTTGCGCAGGTAGAAAAATGTCACCATTCCGGTCATTAAGGCCGTCCCAATAACGGCTCCAACTACCGCGCCGGCAATAACGCCACCGGTAATTGAGCTGGAAGATTGTGACGGAACTTCGGTAACACTGCTGTTTACCGGGCCGCTGCTGCCTGTGATGACAGCCTGGGCAAAGAGGTTACTTGGCGCAGAGGGAACATCGTATCGTTTGCTGAAAACAGTTTCCAGAGCTTTAGAACCCCATCCGCCACTGGGCGCAGTCGCTGTAGCGCTGCCGGAAGGTCTAGGGTTTATTGTCAGCGAACTGCCAAACGGTTTTGAAACCACAATTAAAAGGAAATGGAGAAGTTACCCTCCACCTATCACGTTGTATATCTGTGAGTTAACTCGATATGGGCTGTTGTTGTTTGGATCGTATTGAGATATCCAGTTATAGCTTGTGAGGTTTAAAAGCCTGATTGGTGAGAAGACCGAGTTACATTCATCCGCGTTCACGTCGGCAGTATCATTCTTGATGAAGCCGCCTATAACAAAGCCACTGTCCTCTTTCCATTTCAGTCCGCGGTGGTTTCGCCGACCAAGGCCACCAAGGGACTCTCTTTCAACATTGCTGGTATCGTCTATCTTGATCCATGTAAAGGACGGGATGCTAAGGACATCTTTCCTCAGAACGATTTAGCTCATCATCGCAAATCGTGTGAAAGGGTGCTTCTTCTTACATATGTCTTCGTAAGACTTTCCACGGAACAAATTCCAGCCACCATAGATCGTAATAGTATAAGAGCTGCGGTCCGGAGCAGGTGTCATCCAAGAGCTGAATAGACTTCGTCCGCTTACACCTCTATCGGAAGGCGAATCTCCACTGGTCGTCACATTGTACCACTCAGAGGAGGCGATGTCGTAGACGTCGACAGATGTCATTGGAGCATCACTCCATGGATAATTGTCGTATTCAGATCCATGTTCGGCTGTCTATTCTACGTTAGTATAAAACCACACTTGACGCGACAAGAGGTACATACGTTGTATCCACCAATGCTGATTAGGACGCCCTGCTCTCCGACAGGAACAAAAATTAGCTGTCCCTCGCCTCTCAGTGGCCCGGGCGATTCGGGATCGTCATAAATGAACGACGTATCATTTTCCCATGAAAGACTGGTGTGATCGCTGGAACTAAAACGAAGGATTCCAGAAGTATCACCATCCATGCCTCCAGAGAGAAAAGACATACCAGTGCCGGGAATGCTGGTGTGTATCGAACCACCTCGACTGCCATGCTGGAAATTTCCCCCGGCCACGGTGACTTTTTCCCAGAGACTGTTCAACACATGGTATGCCCAAAGGTGGTTCGTAGCACTGTCATCGGACTTTGAGAGACCTGCGTACATGTACAAGGTTGTGTTGTCGTAGAAGAAAACACCATCTGTAGTATTCCAAGAGACATTGGACGGTACGGCGCTCGAGTAAAGTTGGTCCCCTGGTATATAGCCACTGACAGAGAAAGTCTGGTTCAGTCTGAGGGTGAAGAGTTTCGGTTTGGTTGCTTCTGTCTTTTCTCCGATGAAGTTGTATTCGCCGCTCATGAAGAATAATTGGTCTCCGACGAGGGCAACTATAATAATTCCGTTAGCTTTTGAGCGCAAAATCGTTCAGTTCCTTCTTATGATAATACATACCGCGCTGGCCACCCATGGCACATAGGCTCTGATCAGCTAGACTCCATGGTCGGAATTGCTCGTTAGATCGTCTTCCTATGCTTGCGCCACTAGCTATAGAACTGGTCAGGAGCATGACAGCCAGCAACCAACTCTGTTGCGCCCAGGAGCTAGACATCGAGGCTCGTGTAAAATGAAAGGAACCCAGAAAAGACTGGAATGTCGTCCGTAAGGTGGGGGAGAAAGCTTTGTAGTTACTATGATTAGGCTTGGTACATGAATTTCACTAGCATATGCCAATATGTCCGAGCAAAGCCAGCCTGGCGCACCGACGGCCCTGGAATCAGGCGATTGCCTTTTGCTGCGGCGAAGCATCACCGAGCGGTAGCTAACGCGCTGTCCTATGAGCTGTTGCTGTGCCACCTAAATGCTGTAGTCGTCGCGTTAATCTCACGGAGTCACACTCTAAGTTGGGTCTCGCGCCCCGAAATACCCCAGTCGACTCGCTTATCACCTCTCATCTCCGTAACACAAGTGATCTCCCGGCGCTTACCACGTAGGTACGCAATGCTATAATTGGTCCGAAGGCAGCAGGCTGCCGTCTAACGTCCATCAGTCTAGTCTTTAGAAATTCATAAAAGGAATAGAACACTAAAAATAGAAATGTACATATGTCCTACTGAAAATTAAGATTCGGAGATCATGCTCCTCGGGAAGAATTAATCTGAGGTCTGGTTTCTTCAGCCTGAAGTTCTACAGGATTAGGAACATCAGCCTCGAGCTCTCCAGAAGAAGGAGCGTCAGCCTTGAGCTCTGCACAATCGTCTTCCAGGCTTGCTATTTCCACAGGACGGCCCACAATCCCCATCTCATGAAGCTGGTTTTGTTGTCCCGGAAACTCTGGTAGGTGAAGACTTGATGGCTCTGAGGATTGAGAACCGCTCAAGGCCTCCTTCCGGCGACGCAGAACAAAGAAGGTCCATAGCGCTGTCGCTATCAAGACGAGGGCTCCTACGCTTACACTAACCCCTATTCCAATTTTAGCGGCCGCTGACAGCCCAGAAGGACCGCTGTGTAGTACTGCCCAATGTTTGTTCCAACTCTGTGCAAACAATTGGGGGTCTGAAGGGATATTGTATAGTTCTGTCTGATCACTTTCGATGTTTGTAAGGCCCTTTGGACTATCCTGGGCTGCAGGGCCTGGGGCTTGAGCGAGCCAGGAGCGTTTTTGTCGAAAGTTGCGGCCGAGAAAAGCGGCTTGTAGGAATGCGCGGCCGAGGCGGTAATGGTCGCCTACTCCAGGAAAAAATTGCATGCAAGGGAAATATGACGTTCTTCTTCCCACGACGGGGTGGTCCAGGGTGAGGTCAAGGAGGGCGAAGGGCACTTTTATGGTGACGTTTTCGGTGTCTTTGTAACCAGGAGGAAAGGTGAAAGAGAGGTAGGCAGGCGACTTTACTATTTTTCATATCGGGGGTCGTTCCTGTCCCAGAGATAGTACTTGGTGTTGCTGTCATAGAATATGGGCAATTCCTCTATAATTGCTTCGCATGTTTCGGTTGGAAGGCTGAGATATGGGGTTTGAGGGTCCGGAATAACGGTGATTTGCTCATAGCGGTTGTTTTTGCTAAGCAAAAGCCCGCTTTTGTTGTTGAAAACAAACGGAGATTCACCAATCTCTACGCCTATACCTATATCCAGCAGTGTAGGGGGGTCAGTGAATGTCGTATAGGGGCCGAGTACCCTTGCTTTATCATAACCACCAAACACCAAGCTTCCCGCATAGTTGAATGCTGCCGATCCGATATGGAGGCCGTACGAGTATGATGGTATGATTTTCCTGTGGAAAGCACCTCCAGCAAATGTCCAAGTAGGAGTATCTACGGCATCCTTGCCACCAACAGCAGTAAGTCTCTGCATCTCGTCTAAGTCATTGCCAAGGGCAAGGGAACCTAACACTGGTAAGTGAGGCTCCCCGTTGGGACTTTTGACTGATACGTTTGTGACGGCAGCCAAGGATACGTTGTAGATAGTTTGCTGGTTGATAGTCATGGCCAAAGGGTACACGAAGCTTGTTCTTGACTCGAGCCCCTGCGATAAGTCCGTCCAAGTTGTTTTCCAATCGGTATTTGTCTTACTGTTGGGGGTCCACGGCTGGCCTGTCCCACATTGATGAACCTCAGACGCACAAGCCCCTTCGGAAAGAACGTTTGAGGACCAAAATCCACCCGGTAAAAGGTCCACTGTCGATTGGCATTGGCTGATATTCGATCTCTCAGCTTCACTGCCTCCGATAGCAACTATGTTTATCAGTGATTGTTTGAAGCATCAAGTCTACCAATGATGTTGTACTCACCTGAGACAGCCTGCCACGGTCCATCTGGCCCATAATAGGTATTGCTCCAGGGTATTTCCAAGTACTGCGACGCATTTGTAATTTCGATAAAGAATAAAAGACATAGGACAATAACGAGACTAAAGAACTTGAACATCATGTTGTCGATGTTGGAGAGTTCCCGCAGTTATCGGTAGACCGCCGGAAAGGGAACCTGCCCGCCGAGTCCGCTTAGCTGAATGAGTAGAGTGGAAGAAAATGCAGATACGCGCTCTAGCTGATGATCCTATGAAAAATACGAAGGGATCGTGAAGATATCACAAAAGTCTTAGAGTGGGAAGGCAAGTGAGAGATTATGTCGACCCAGCTTCTCTTTGACAAAGAGAGAGAGTGAGGCTGAAACTGTAGAAAAGGAGACTTGCATTGGAGGCTCCATACTTCCAGCTTCGGTATGCAGGACGACCCTTTCGCGTATTGCCGGCTCCTGGCTTAAACAATTTTTCATAAATAGGAGAATGCATGACGAGATTTCGAAGGTTCAGTGAAGGAATAGGTGCGACGGCCCTATCAGTTCTCGATATGTTTCGCTGCATAGCCTCTGCGGAATGCTTAGATTAATGCTTCGGCTAGTACAATAGGCAATTGCTGATCATCTGTGTGGATTTAGCTTCGAAGTAAGATCTGAAGTGAATTACTCAACGAAATCTAGGGGTATGTTAGAACTGCGGCACACCAACCCACATAGCAAAAGACCAGATGATAGCCTCGTCGCTCGAGCATGTGTAACTCGCCGCTTCTATACGTCGACCCCTTCTTGCCAGGGATTGACGATACCACCTTGAGCTGACGCAGAGTTCAGCCTTGTGTTCCACAGTAGGAGGGCGCGAGTTAGTTCCCCCATCCCTTCCCTTTTAATGTACCACCGCACCTCTACCCTCTCGTTTAGATAGCTGTTCTCATTGTCTTCGTATCCGACGATTCGAGTGAGAGAGGGAAGTGCACCTGTGATGAGTGCGTAATAGATCAACGTCGAGAATTTCTGGTGCTTGAGAATGTCAACAGTTTCCCGGACAGTACCCGGAGATTCCAACTCCGGCTCGCTTCAACATGCAACTCAGCGTGAAAAATATGCGTGCGCATCTTAAGACTCTGAGCGCATGTGAGGTCGAGCAAGATCGAGATGACTTTTGACAGTGACGGTCCAAAGTACTAGTGGTACGAAGTACAGCTGATGGGGACGCGAAGACTCCAGGTAACGACTGGACAAGTTGACAACTCTGACGCGTATACAAGAGGCACGCAGGTTCGCGACCGACCGTGTGGAAAGCCACCCACTACTTGACAATCGAAGGAAAGCGCGAGACAGCGAGCCAAAACATGCAAGCAGCCAAAGCTACACAGGAGGATGGTCAAGTGAAGAATGGCGAAAATCTCCGGGTAACCATAACGCTCCGGGTAAAGTCACAGCAAACAAAGCCTCTTCCTCAAAGCTTCGCACAAGGCGAAAGCATCAATGAAAAGCCTTAAAAAAGGTGAACAGCAAAAATTGCGCCGGTGAAGCCCCCGAAGGAGATTCATACCGGCCCGCCACCGCGCTGTGCAATGCAGGGCAGTCCGATAAGTCGACCGTCTTCTTGATCACGGTGACTCCAACAAGGTAAGTATGATCGGAAAAGGGACTTCGTCTGGGGCGTGGGTTGGGCGGGCTTATATAGATGTCTGGCGAGGGGACGTGCCCAAGCGAGCCTTGGCGTGCTGAGATTTACTGCGGGCTGTGCTCGGATGTACGCAAGGCAAACGCGAACGCGAACGCGGTGTTGCCTAATGACGTAACTTCATTTTCTTCACGCGTCTTCCATTGATTTCCATTGATTTCCATTGCAGTCTACTACGTGCCTACCTATCTAGGAGTAGGTGGTACCTGCTGTCCTTCACTTCCACTGTCGATCGGAGCTTTGCAGTAGGTAGCATATCAATTCGCTTCTCTCCAAATCTTCGGAAGAGGTCCATCGACGCCATACAATGGATCTGCCTCTGGGACTGGGACTTCGGTGCAGAGCTTTGCGAGCCTTTGCGTCTCCTCAGGTCCTTTGTCACCCCAGTTCATGTCGAATCTCTTCTCTTCCACCAAGGCGGCCTGTTTGAGATCAAAAGAAATGGAAATTAGCCACCCTTGCCCATGACGGCGCAATATCACGCAGAACTTACATCTGGATAGAAACCAATATACTCATAATCGTCTTTGGCCTCCAGCGAAGCGTGCGAGATACCAGCCTGTCCCAAAGACATTAGACAACTTGAACACGTACTTCACGTACTTCATCGGCAGCCTTGTGCAGAACAAGTTGTGGAACTAACCGGGAAAACAAACACGTCGCCTTTACCCACGGTGAGCTTAAGTCCATGCTCATTTCCTTGCTCATCAACATCTGGATCCTGAGGCGACTTCCCCAGCAGGTAGGTTGTGCTGCCTGCTACGACGCCATAGCATTCATGGCAGTTGGAATGGAAGTGCGGCTTGTAGAATGCTTTCCAATGACCACCTTTCAGCCAACCATTCGGCTCGATGGTCGCCAAGATGCTGTCCGGTTTGGTGTCTTTCAGCGCATTACGGTACACAATGATCGGCAACTTGGAATTCGGTACGTGGGGTGTAGGCTTGATCCAGTGGGTTTCCGGTTCGATTCTCCCGGATGTCGAAACCATTCTGGACCTGTAATGTGGGACGAGGAGGAATGGAGTTGAGCGAGGATGAAGGGTACGACGGTAAGAAAGATTCGCAACTGTGCTTGGTCTCAGAAACATTCTGCGATATCTGTCTCTTTATGTTAATCTGATCGGGACTTGAGATGTGGTTGAGCACTCGAGGCAAGCTCAGGTGGGGAAGGTAAGTCCGGCCCCTCCCCCACCATCGTCATCTTATCACTCTCCAACCAATCATCCGCTCTTCCTATCTAAAATTGCATGTCGAATGCGTTTCACGGGGACCGTGGTGTTGCGCTACGGAATCCGGTTCCGGTTCCGTGCTTCTACCCCGCACGACAATCTTTCCTATCCGAGGACCGGAAATGGCATCCGATTTCCATATTCGGATTATGGATCGACCAATAGATTTTGGCGAATTATCAGATACTCCGTCTACCACTGACTTTGCGATAACGATTCATTGTGGAGACCAGGTGCTACCCGGTGACAGAGGGACACCGGCTTCTGGTTGCGACTTTGGAAGATAAAGTGAGTGGCGGTGGGGTATGTCCTACTCCATCATACTATAAATGGATTGAAGAATGGCAGAAGGTTAGGATAAGACCAGAGCATTTTGAGACTCTTGGAAATACCTACTTCTAGATCCGTTGCCTTGTCTATCAATCAATCCATTCCGTCTCCGATACAACTTCTTCAGCTCCGCGATGACCCAAATCACCACAACCCCTTTTGGAGCGCCTAATCTATCGAATGGTGTTCCGAATGGTTTACCTCCGGAAATATCAAACAGATCAGTGAATGGAGAGACACACAAACCGCTTGATGGGGCGCAGCGAAAAGCATGGATCTCTGAACGATGCGTTGACCAGCCCAGGCCGCTGAAGCTTATCTATATTGGTGCCGGTGTCTCTGGCATCACAGGCGCCATTTCCTTCTTGGAGAAGGTGCCCAACCTTGAGCTGGTGATATACGAGAAGAACCCGGAAGTGGGTGGAACGTGGTATGAGAACAGGTATCCAGGATGCGCATGTGGTATGTACTATTCCTCATCACACTTCCGCTCCCGACTAACTTTCTTCATTAGATGTTCCCTCCCACTCCTACCAGCTCAGCTTTGAGTCTTGGCCAAAATGGAGCCAGTTCTTCTCCGGAGCCCCGGAAATCCTCGAATACTGGAAAATGGTGGCACAGAAATACGACGTTAGGAAACGGATCCGCTTCGAGCAAAAGTGCATCGGAGCCCGTTGGAGCGAAACCAGCTCCAAGTGGTTTGTGCAAATCCAAAACTTGGCAACAAAGGAGATTTTTGAGGATTCGGCCGACGTGCTCATGACTGGGGAAGGCGTGTTGAACCAGTGGAATTGGCCTGACATAACCGGCATTCACAACTTTAAAGGGCCACTTCTTCACAGTGCCAGTTGGGACGCTTTCTTCAATCCAGAGGTATGGGGTTTACGTTCCTTGCCTTTCCATCACCATCACTAAAAGGATGATTACTCACAACTATCCCAAAATGTACAGGGTAAATCAGTCGCCGTGATAGGAGCAGGCAGCAGTGGCATTCAGATAGTCCCGGCCATCCTACCTGCAGTAAAATCTATGGATCACTATGTGCGCGGCCGCACTTGGATCGCCAACCAAGGCGGCGGTGAACTACTCAAGGAAAGAACCTCTGGCAAAGGCGGTAATTTCGCCTACACGGACGAGGAAAAATCAATGTGGGAAAACAACCGTGAAGTATATCTGGCATACCGAAAAGCACTGGAGTTTGGCTTGCAGAGTGGCTTCGGCATCACACACAAGGACCACTTGAAACAAAAGGAAGCCCGGGCTCAGTACTCGGAAAACATGCGTCAAAAACTTCGAGACAAACCGGAGATAATCGAACACTTGATGCCAACATATCCGCCATTTTGCAAGCGGTTGACACCCGGTCCTGGCTACCTAGAGGCGTTGACCTCGCCAAAAGTCAACGTAATTCCCACCGCCATCTCACACATTGACGAGACAGGCATCGTCACAACCGACGGCATACACCACCCCGTCGACGTGATAATCTGCGCAACCGGCTTTCAAACCACACCGGGCAGCCACGGCTTCCCCATCTACGGTCGCGACGGCAGCAACCTGCGCGAGCGGTACCAAGTCCGACCAGAAACATACCTTGGTCTCAGCACGTCCGGGTTCCCGAACTTCTTCCAGTCCCTCGGGCCCAACGCCTTCCAAGGCGCGGGGAACCTGCTCATCATGATCGAGTACACGCACCAGTACGTGGCGCAGATCCTTGCGAGGCTGGCGTACGGCAACATCGGGACGGTGGAGCCGAAGCGGTGGGCCGTCGAGGCTTTCACCAACTACTGCGACGAGTTCTTCAAGCGCACCGTCTTTGCCGACGAGTGCGATAGCTGGTATAAGTCTGCGCCGGCGGGGGCGACGCGCGAGGAGAAGCGCCGCGGGAGGGTTACGGCGCTTTGGCCTGGCAGCAGTTTGCATGCTGTTAATGTGTTGAGCGAGGTCAGGTGGGAGGATTATGAGTCTCGTCCTTGGGATGGGAATCCGTTTGGCTGGTTTGGGAATGGCTGGACGAGGGCGGAGAGGGATGAGGGGGCGGGCGTGGAGGCGAGGACTTGGTATTTGAATAATACGAACATCCTCAGGACGTGATAACGCCGTCGATAGAGTGGAAACGGCCAGTTTGCAAGTATGGCGTATGAAGTGTGGGTATTTTCGGGGTTGGAGTTGTTTTGAATTATGAAGTTAATGATATTTTGGGTGAACTGCGATGACTGAGTGATCTTGCATCCGACATTGTTTGTCTACCAAACTTTGGAAGCTGTGAAGTTTTCATGAAAATAAAGAAAAACTATAGCAAATCCCCCGCATCCATCGAAGGATGGCCAGATACGCTATAGATATTCAAAAACTCGGCAACATTCAGAAGCTGCGAGGACATCAACGTATCAAGATCTCCCGAGCCCTCCATCATCCTCATGAGCTCTCCAGTATTGCCCAATGGAGTCATTGGCACATATACAGATGTATTGCCCGTCGTGGCAGCATCAATCTCTGCCATTGCAGCAGAAGTCCTCTCCAAAGCCGCCTTTGCTTCTCCAAGCATAAACTCCAGATGCCTCAGCTCGGACAGCCGAACACTGGCCACCAAGTTCCCTTTGAAGCCCATTTCGTCCAGAACGTCGTATACAGTGTGCAACAGATCTTCGGCGTCGCTTGATATGGCTGGACTAACAGTGTTTGTCATTGCGATGGCCATGCCGGCGGACAAGGCGCTTTCCAGATCGAATGGGATAAAGCTCTCTGGGAATTTAATAAGCAAATTATGCCGTGATAGAGTTAGCGGGAAAACGAACCTATCAAAGATTGCTCTTGCAGTGCTCGGAGAACGGTTACGATTTTCCTTGCTGATTCGTAGCACACTTGCAGCAGAATCCGGACTGGATCAGCCAAGACGGAGGACGTGTTCTCGCCATCCAATGTCTCCAAGCGCTTATCGAAGAAACTGAGGAGAAAGGGGCGTGTGGCTAGTAGAATGCACTTGCAAAGATTGTTACTGGTGTTCTGAGAATGGGCACACCGCCACAATGTAGCTACACAGAGCTGGTATCTTACCTGATGGTAAAGCAGATTCAAGTGACCAGACACACGAGGGATCCCTTTCCCTTGGTTTGGCGGAGGTACCTCGAAGTTGGCGGCGAGCTCATCCGCTACGTTGGCTACTCGTCGGAGAACGTCCTGTGTGCTGGATATGAAAGTCTGTTCCCATCTTCCATCGATGCCATAAACGACTTAACAGTGCGGTCAGCGAGAATACGCAGAAGTATGAGTTGAAAAGAGTACATACTGTTGACGACCTGCGCCAATGTTTGGGAGAGCTTGACGTGGATCTCTATCGCAGCTGTTTTTTGCCTCGAGTCGGGGAAAGCCGGCAGTGGCGCGGTGATATCGTTGTCGTGAACACTCATTGGAACTCCCATCAGTGCAGACATCTGGCGATCTAGAATGAACACTGTCCACCAGATTTTTCGACATCGTTGAATATGCGATTCTTCGAGTGGTCCGGGTCGGATGTCGGTGTGCATTCCCTCAAGGAAAGCTAAGCGCATCGCTTGTCCAATCTACGAAAAGTCATGTCAAAATAAAGTGTTCATGCTGATAGGATAGTTAAGAGAGCTTACAAGGTTGTGAGCAGCCCATCTGGAATCAAGGGCTTGGTGGTAGAGTGCCATGCAGCAGAGGATCTCGGTAGAGACAACAGGGTCTCGCACTAGCTGCATCACACCAGGAAGTAACGCCGTTGCGCGGACGAACCAATCAGATCCAGGTGGTCGTTTCGTCCGATTATTGCTGACGACAAAAGCTTTTCCAAATGCGAGGAGCACCAGGAAATGGATGTACCAAAATCTCATCGTGTTCATTTTCTGCTGCGGGTTCTCGTAGAACTCGTATAGTTGCGGCATGAAAGTGGCTTCATCAAATAGATGGAATATCTGGCCTGTCCGGAACTTGACTGTGTTGATAAGGTATATTGAGAAGTCTAGTGATGGAAGACTGGTGGCGTCGGGGATCACTGTCGTCTGCATATCATCCAAGCCCAAGTCGTAGGTTCTCCCGTCACCGTGTAGCATCTCTGATGGGAAATGGTTGCGGTGCAGGCGCTTGTATGTAAGGCGTAAGACTCGTTGTATGAATGACCAATTTGAAGAATGGCCTAAAAATACTTGAGTTGAATGTGAGTTTGGATATTTCGGGCATTAAAAAAGACAAAGCTAGAAGCAAAAATCTTGTACTCACGAGCTCGTCCTTCTTGATCGATGATGTGCGTCGAGGGTCCTGCCGACAACGGATTCGTCATTCGGATGTCTTCACTCTCGTCTTCATACTGCGGAGATTGTTCTCCAGGAGCAGTCGCCAAATCAGTGTGTTGAGACGGCTCTGAAGCTGGAGTGGCCGTATCCTCTGGAGAAACAGGATCTGTTGCCCTTGGTAGAGGAACATTACGCTCCACAGTAGCTTCCAGTTGTGAGATTCTGTTTTTGAGCTCGGTGAGGTATCTAAAACCATCATAATGTCAGACAAGGATTTTCAGTGCTGTTAAAGGTAGTCACTTACTTTTTCGTGACCACTCTTTTGGGCTCTTCCGTATCCCATACACAGTTAGTCTTCCGACGTATACAACCTTCGCACGGCTTCCTTCCTGAGCATTTGATTTTCTGCCGGCGGCATCGATCGCATCTCCATTTTGTCAGTTTTGGGGATCAGCGGTGTAGGACGTTACGTACGCATTCGAACATCGCTTTTTGGTATTCGGATCCCTGCAGGAATCCATCTATCATGATAGTTCTCCTTGGCGTTCTCCTTCTTAGCAATAAAGTAGTTAAAGACGACCGGCTAAACGAATTGGGAAAGGATGAAGAGCCTAGTTAATGGTTAGTGATTTACGACACTGTAAACGTCGATAAGGATAAGGCAGTGGCAAGCTAATCTCTGGTAAATTGTGAGGCAATAGTGCAAAAGACGTTACTTTTGAGATGGCAATCTCCGTCCGGAGAATGGCTTTTTGCAAGACCTTGCATTTGTCGGGATGTTAGCTTACCCCGCCTATCGTGAATGTAAAATAATCTGGGGTTTGCCGGGTTGGCCATTCTGTTACCTAATTATCATGCAGTAGTATTATCTTAGCAGTTTACCCCGCAATTCTGAAGATGCTTCCTCCCGGGGTTCCATTACGACTTCAACGCAAAAATATGTCTGTGGGAGTACATGATATCATGATACAGCTTATAATGATCAAAGTAATGCTGTGGCTGCATTTTGCTTTGCCGCGTGATAATGTGGTAGAAGAGTTGGGCGGGGTCGGTTATCTAATCCGCTTGCGCACCGGCTTCAGGAGCCGGTCATCCCGATAGGTAAACAAGACGCCGATCTGACCTACTTGCATCTTTGTGCTACCTATAGATTCCTTAATCTAGCTTGAGACACTCTTTTGTCGCTCTTGTGGTAGCTTCTTCGTCAATCACTCAAGATTTCGTTGGTTGTGCGTCACTGACCGTGGAATGAGCGTTCTTGAATTTTCTTGTCTTCGCCTCGATTTTTATCTTCTGCCAATTACTTGCGGTACCACATTCTCGTCACCTTAGTCCGTCTCATCTTCTTTTGTAGCTGAAAGATGCCATACATCAATGCCTCAGCTGTAGGCGGGCAGCCCGGTACATATATGTCGACGGGGATGATTCTGTCCACACCTCTCACCACGCTGTAACTGTAGTGGTAATAACCTCCACCATTCGCACAGCTTCCCATGCTAATAACCCACTTCGGATCAGGCATTTGGTCGTAACACAACCGTACCGCTGGACCTATTTTGTTCGTGACTGTGCCAGCAACAATCATAACATCGGCCTGACGCGGTGAGGCGCGGAAGATGATGCCAAGACGGTCCTGGTCATAGCGAGGCATAGAGAGGTGCATCATTTCAATGGCACAGCAGGCCAAACCAAAACTGAGAGGCCAGAGAGAGCCTTGGCGTGCCCAGTTGGCAATTTGGTCAAGAGTTGTCCTAAGATCGCCAATCAGTGTCATCCTTGCTTCTCAGGCTTTCCGCTTTCATGGTGCCTACAAGACATGCTCCACAACACCTGTATCTTTGCGGATAGTCAAAGGGAGATCGGAGTTTGCATCGCGATTGCGATGCGTCGGAAGCGATTTTCGGTGATGGCCATCATTCAATGAACTGTACGGTCGTACGGTTGGCAACAACAGCCTAGGTGTATGCGAGCTCCAACATGGAATCCGTCGTAGAGAATTGTGGGCTAAATTTTCAAACATACGTTAGCATATTGTTATTGGATGATATAGTTTGTGAGTTTGTGACATACCAAGGCCAATTCTGTACTTCAACATTTTCCGCATTTTAAACATTTGTTGGTACAGTAAAAACAAAAAATTGAGTAGGTTAGAAAAAGAGGAACTGGGGATGTTTCTTAGGATAACTTCACTTGAATGTGAATCAGCAATTTATGGATTGCCGCTTTCGGTTAGAGCATCACCGGGTCGTCGGCTCGCGTTCGGGAAAACCCCTCAGCGGCGGCGAAAACCCACCTCCACGCCGCTGAAACCCCTCATACCGGCAAAAACCCACAACGTCCCAACTGCAACCTATTCTGCTCTTGGTCATCATAATGTCGTCTCCGAAACCGTCGAAAACCACGGTTTCAAAGCATAAGTGTCTTACTTGCAATAAAACCTATTCAACCAACAGCCATTTGCGACGTCATGAAGCTACACGTAAGCGTTCCAGCCGTAACTTCTTCGTTCATCTACTCAAAATATTTAGACAAACAGAATCGCTCAATCAAATGCCCATTTTGTGATCGCAAATTCGCTCGGATGTATGCTCTAAATACGTATCATTTGACAAAAGTTGTTACTGATATACAACAGTGACGGTGTCCGACGGCATTCTAAAACGTGTTCTAAGAAACAGCAAAATGGCGTAATACCGGCCACGAAACGAGGCAGAAAACCAAGAGCTTGTGATGCCTGTCGCGCAAGAAAAGTCCACTGTAACAGCAACCAGCCATGTGAAAGATGTCTGTCCGATGGCTCTTTATGCTCCTACTGCCATGTAAATGACGCCACGCCTACGACTCTTCTGGACCACAGCCCTGCAACTCATCACATAACACCCTCGGATGATAGAAGAGACCCCGATGCTGGCCGTATTCCTGTGTCGTTTCTACTTAGCTACACAGACCCGTCCAAATCAACGACAGAGGTGTTCCTCAACGAAGGCGGAGAGAAAGTCGAAGCGCTAGCAGAGCAGGCTGGATATTATGCTGAATTCGACGAGCAACCAAGCTACACATTCGACAATGACCTTGAGAGTCTTTTTCCTGGAATATCATTGAATTTTGTGACGGACTCGGAGTTGATGACGGACACGTTCGATCCAATAACTTTCTCGCTACCTCCAACATATGCGCTCGAAGGTCGAATGGAGGAGCTTCTTTCTCTTCTTGTAGCTCAAGATGAGACGAGTTCCAGGCATACATTGCCGCCATCCGACTTTCCCTTAGATGCGGCGAAAACAGTCTTTACGGCAAAGAATCTGGTCGACTATGCTTCGGCATATTTCAAACATTTCCATCACCACTGTCCACTGGTTCATAAAGCAACGTTTGAATTAGAAACGGCTCCCATCCACCTGGTTCTTGCTATATTCTTCTGTGGATTGATTAGAGTCGCACCTCATCACGATACGTCAACCAATCGAAGTTTCTTCTGCCTTGGGGAAGATTACATTTACGGGCTCTTACAGAACGTAGTGGCAAATGATGACGGAAGTTCTATGGAGAATGACGTCGAAATAGTCCAAGCTGCCCTGATCATGCTCTTTTTGCAGATTGCTTCCAGTGATGCGGTCACTCGGCATAGGATCCGAGTGAACAGACATCCAGAACTGGTTGCCTCTCTACGAGCACTCGGCTTGATGGAAGCGAAGCGTACTGTGGGCTGCAGCGCTTCCCATTGGAAGCAATTCATCACTGAAGAGATTAGAGTTAGGTATGATGCACTTGGTTTATTGCTTTTTATGCAAAGCTGCTCACTCAAACAGAACCGCGACCTGGGTGATTGCCGCGGATTGCTGGTGTACACTTCTTTTCAACAATCGTCCGCAAATAACCATATCGGAAATGATTGGAGACTTGCCCTGCGCCGGAGAGTTATTTGAAGCTTCCACGGCAGCTGAGTTTGAGGTTATAGCTACTTCGCTAGCTTATTCCATTCAGTCTCCGCCATGCCTAAGAGATTGGGTTTCATCATTAATGCAAGAGACATGGTTAGGTCCTGAAGAAGCTCATTCCCATTTAATGGGCTTGGGACATTTACAATTATGTCTTCTTGGTAAGTTCAGTGATACGATTAAGCAAGAGATGCTCACTAACTTCACTAAAGCTCTCAACTCTGTCATTTTCGCCTGGCGGACTAGTCTCTTAATTTCTTCATCATCTCACTACCTCCTTCGTGCGATGAACAGGTGGAAAGAGCATTGGGATGTTGTTTATGCAAGGTACACGAAGGAACAAGTGCAGGCTATCGGAATCGCTAGGCATAGTCCAGAGACGTGGACTGTTGCGCGGATGCTTATCGAAGTTGCGCAGTCGAAGAACTTAAGAGGCCGATATGCGAGAGGAATTCCAACGGATTCTTTAAAGGACTTTCACGAATTCATCCGCTTGTACAGGATGGATCCCTCGGAAAACGACAAATAAGCACTGCGAAAAAGGCTAGCAGGGGTTGTCATTGGCGCAATTACAGTCGAAGGGGATTGGTTGTTATACGAGGAGCAGCGGGGGCTTACTGGATGTTACACATATACCCCGCTTGCAAAAAGAGAAGCTTGAGGCAAAGAAATATCTATCTACTTTCTCACTCCGATCGACAACACCCAATGGAAGACACAGCATGTCAAGTGTGCCTCGACTTTTCGCTATCTGATGAGCTCACTACAACATTCCAGTACATCCGAAAGTTTGACTTACAGACACTTCGAATATCTGCCCGGCAAGGATGTAGCATCTGTTGGCTATTTCACACTTCCGTGAGCCTTTTCAGGCACTTGATCGATGGTCGGTCTGAGAGCGATGTCAAAGTCACGATCTACAGATGGTATACTGAGGAGGTGACAGTAGCATTGAGCTGGGATGAGAGGCTGGGAGAGTACGATCCTCAATACACGCTTTACCTGTATATGCAAGCTGGTATGTTTAAGTTAGCACTGACTGAATGTACCCTTTACCAGGTTAATGCTGACTTAAGTGATATAGCGGAGCCGAAAAATCCCATGGACGGTCGCCTGAAAGTCCGGAAACACATCCTCGATCCTAAGTCAGACGAATGTATCGACCTAATAAAAAACTGGGTGCAGACCTGCTGCAATGATACAGCCGGTCACGCCGGATGTACCCTGCCGTCAACTGTTGACCTTCCGACCAGAGTTGTCGACATTGGCACGTTCGATGGGATGCAGGATCCTCTTCTAAAACAGACGAGGGGTGAAAAGGGGACATATATTGCCCTTAGCCATTGTTGGGGAAGAAAACAGATCATAAGGACAACAAAATCTACTCTTGAAACCCATAAAAGTAGAATCAAATGGTCGGCACTTTCCAAAACATTCCAAGATGCCATCACGACGACGCGGAAACTCGGGATTCGATACATCTGGATTGACTCACTTTGCATTATTCAAGATGACCCGCAAGATTGGGAAATCGAATCGACGAAAATGGCAGATATATACGAAGGTGCATATCTCACTATCGCGGCCACCGCAGCAGCGAGTGGTGAAGACGGCCTTTACAAGATTCGTTCACCGCCAAAACAAACCCTACTACCGGGATATAAACAGCCAGTCTTTGTGGAACTAAAGCCGAAGCATGACGATTTCGGCATACGGAGACGAGCCGATACAGCTGATGCGCCTCTCCTTTCTCGCGCATGGGTTTTCCAAGAGCGCATTCTTTCCAGCCGCGTCATCCACTTTGGTGCGGAGGAGATGCTATTTGAGTGCAAGAGCAAATTCCTATGCGAATGTGGCGGTGTTTCGACATATATCGGGCCGCATTCCCGACAAGTAAACTTCAAACAATCGTTTGCTCGCAACTTGAGGACTAGTTCTGTGCCAAACTGGCAGGAACTCGTTCGTGAATACACTGCGCGCGCTCTGACCTTCGAGCAGGACAGGCTACCGGCGCTCTCAGCGGTGGCCAGACGTCTGCAGCCTCTGATGGGAAGATACCTTGCAGGCATGTGGTACAATCAGTTACCCGGGAGTCTACTGTGGTCGGCTTATCCTGAAATGTTTGAAAACCCAACAACAAGTATTGAACTTCCGTGGAGGCCAGCACGACAATCTAATGCCAGTGTTGCTCCACCGACATGGTCTTGGGCCTCAATTGATGGTGCCGTTATCAATATCCTTGCAGCAGGAATGATAAAGGCAATAAGAGCGGAGGTTCTGGAAGCGGATACAACACCGCTATTAAATGATCCTTACGGCGTCATCGCAAAGGGCTATATCAAGCTAAAGGGGATCTTGGTCCCAGTATCACTACACCGACATACAGGGAAGAAGAGCTGTACCATTCGGAAAGGGACCTCGGAAGTGCGGTTTGAACCGGATATTGAACTGCCATTGTCCGTAAGTAATGAGATTGGGTGTCTCCTTATTGCAGATGGCTTTGGTGGATATCAGGAAACCCTGGTTGTTGAGCTTGTTGACGCATCAATATGTCAGTACCGCAGATTGGGCATGTTACGACCGCCACCTGAGTGGTTTGAAGGGGTTGAAGATAGTATTGTTATGCTCGTGTAGATCATCTGTGAACTGCTTAATTATTGCTTGTATCAAATGTTTCCTCCATACGTGGGTTGGGTGTAGTATAGGGGATACAATTCTAGTGAACATTGATATAACTGCGACGCGGCAAGCAAACTGAAAGCCTACAAAGCAAGGCAAGAGGCTGGCTTAGGATTTTATTGAGTTGAAACGATGAACCATACAACCTTTCAACTGTTTCACTTTTATACTCTTATACGATACCCTTATACCCTTGCAGCTTCTACTGATGTACATTCATAGCTCCTCAGTGACTATCAATTTTAGCAATCAAATATTCATAACTACGTAAGGAGTTAGGAATATGATCTTATTCAAACACTATTGAGTAAAGTGCAAATTTTCCGACGCCAACACTTAACTTGATGCAAAGGGTACGAAAGTTTGAGATCTATCAAGTATATAATGGTGACCTTCACATACGAGGAAAGATGCATTAAGATACAACAACTCGGAACCTTTCCGCCGTCTTGTTACCAAATTTAACAACCCAAACATGTTTTCCTTACCCAGCCACGTATATACTACAGATTTGGCAAAAGGAGACGGCAGTCAAGAAGGCATCATTTACTTTCGTCCCATCTTCTCTAATCCACTGCACAACCTTCCGCCACTGCTATCCAGGACGCAAAAAATCAAAAAACATACGACAGCTGGGATTCGCTAGTGGTCACCCTACTAATCAGCCGGTTCGCGGCTTGTGTATGGCAGAGCGGACGGGATGCCCAATTCTCCGCGACCTATGGTCGTATGTGCTTGGTGAAGGTGGTTGTTCAGCTTATACCCTGTGAAATTGAGCTCCCTTCCCACACCGTCAACCAGATTTTTTCGAATTATCAAAAACTTCTAAAGAACCACCTATCATTCTATAAGAGACCGGCAATAATTCTCAGCTTCATAACGAGCTTGACGCCTCCGCAATCACAAACCAAACCCAAGAACGTTACTTGCCTTGATAAAGCAATGACATTAACCACCAAATCCAAGTCTACAAACTGTAAAAATTCGCTTCTCACAATCAACAACCATTGCCCAACTAGTATTGGATAGCAGCCCATAAATTCACCACAATATCCCTTGTCACTGGTCTGGAAGAGAACAAAGCACACACCAACCAGGCGAATACTTTCCCTTGGCACCATGCCAACTGAAGGGAGTAATAGGCGAAATTGAAAACCGCTGGGCAGTCAATCTAATAAGAACACACCCAACTACATCAACTCTTAGGCCGCCAAAGCCGAGCTCAAATGTCTCCACCACGCCCACATGTCATCACGCACCACCGACACCTCTTGAAACCGCACATCAACAAACCCAAACCATCATCATCGTCATCACCATCAAATGCAACTCTACCCGCATCCTGTACAAGCTAACAACAAACCGCCCCCCAAAACATCAAAAGCGAACTAGAACCAACTCCTCACGAAACTTTGGCTGACCCTGCCCTGTTCTTCTCAAGCCTTGCCGCCCTCATTGCCGGGTCACTGTCTCCTGCTCCTTTAAACAGCAAAAGGAAGAGATTAAAATAAAAATAAAATAGCAAATTAGCCTTATCCCAACCTTTAAAACCTCTCACGCCGCATCCACCCATTAAGTGAAAAGGCGCTTCAAGAAAAGTAACGCAAAATCCCGACCGATACGCAATTTTCCCATCAACCCGTACCACCACCATATCCCAATAAGCACAAGACTTCGTGCTTCAACCCCAGACCCGCACCTAGATATCAGATCGCATCATCCCACACGCCGCGCCCTACCTCCACCACGTCCACCCCAAATCCTCTCTCAGCAGCCAGCTTATCTCGCAAGGAAGCGGACTTGCTTCGCCTCGCAAGGACGCTCTGTCTACGCAAGTCGCAGGTAGAGGGGCCTGTGCGCTTGAAAACAGGGTGCGGGTGAGGGTAGTGGGTGTTCTTGTCCTGTCTTGTCCTGGCTTGACTGGCTTGTGTGCAGGACCCTTGGAGTCCGGTTGCGCTTGGCTAACCAGCCCTTAGAGCAGCGGACGGGTGTCTGACGTTGAGCCCGTTGGTTGTTGGCGCGGTTGGTGGGTAGGTAGGAGGAAAGGAGGGAGGCGGCTTGTGCTGCGTGGCGCGGCGCGGTGGTGGTGGTTTCGTGTGGTGTGTTCGAGCGGAGGGGATATGGCCCTGGCCCTGATGATGGGCGACTGGTCGGCTCGCTCGCTCGCTCGCAAGGGAGGGAGGGAGGGATGGGGGTAGAATGCGGCACGCGCAAGAAGAGGCGTGTGCGCCGCCGAATAGGTGGCTTGCTTGCCAGGCTGTCCACGCGCGAGAGCGCATACCCAGCGCCAGCACCTCCGGCAGCAGCAGCGCCAAGACCACAGCGCCTCAACCGCAACCGCAACCGCAGCCTCACCTCAAAGCCATCCACACGCAAGCCCACGCTCTTGACCCACTGTTCCACTCCCCACTACAACAACAGCGCATCCCCCAGCATCTCTCCCCTCCCATCATCCCCCCTCTCCCTCTCCCTATCCCTATCCCTCTCCCTATCCCTATCCCTATCCCTCTCCCTATCCCTATCCCTATCCCGCCCCTCCCGCCTCCCACTCCACTCAACAGCGACGCCCTGCCCCTCCCGCAACACCCTCGCCAACCCCTCCATCGCCTCCACCTTCCTGCGATACAAATCCGCATCATCCGCCGCCGTAGACGGGACATGCGACGGGGTGCCCTGCCTGCGCGGCAGGAAGCCATTGGCCGGGCCGCCCATCCCAGCGCCTATCCCAGCCGGGAACGGTGACAGCGGCGGCTGCTGCTGCTGCTGCTGCTGAGCCAGTGCCTGCGCCTGTCCCACACCCACGCCTAACGGCTGCTGCGTCTGCGCCTGCGCGAGCGCCAGAACCTGCGCCTCCAGCACGCCGACCACCCTTTCCAGCGCGCCAGTGACGCGCTCCCTGTCCTCAGCCTGGCGCGCCAGCTGCGCGGTCAGCGCCTCGAGCGCTTTGACCAGTTTATTGTTGCCGCTGTCGGTCGTAGCAGCAGTAGGGGTGAGCGCCGGTGAGACGGCGGACGGCGTGTGCGTGTGCGAGTGCGGGTCGAGCAGGCCGGGCGGCACAGGCGGAAGATTGCGGGCACGTCCGCGCAGGAGGCCGAGGATGCCGGTGCCGCCGCCGACGACTACGGGGAGGAGGAGGAGCGCGAGCGCGGCGGCAACGAGGACGGCGATGATGGCGGGGAGGAGGGGGTCGGAGCTGTGCAGCGCGTCCATTGTGGCGGGAGCAGCGCGTCTATTGTGGCGGGAGCAGCGCGTCTGGGTGTAGTTTTCGGACGGCGGCGCACGTGAGTGAGAGTGAAGAACGGCGGGCGGAAGTTTCGTGACTGAGTTTGTGTTGTGTTGGGGGATTTGGAAAGTTTAAGGGACCGTCGAGGGGCCGCGGCTGCCACTGCGCGCGCGGCACGTGGGAGCGGGTGTGACGTTTGACGTGGGCCGGCGGCACTGCGCGATCGACGCCGGGGCCCTGGGCTAGCGCAAAAACTCAATTGGCACTTCACGCTGGGGCGGCGATGGGGTTGCGGCGTGTAGGTTTCTGACACGAAAGGTGTGGTGGTGAGGGAAGAGAAGATTAAGAGCTATGGATGCGCCTTGAATGGCTGATTAAAAGAGAAAGAGAGCTATGGTCAACAAACACCTCGCCGCGTGTGTATGGTCCCGGCCGTCGTGTCATACTCCCATCTAGCGCCTAAAACACTGCCGCCGCTGACGTGTTGGACGATGCGAGTGTAGAACCGTTGTCGTCCATGAACCGCCTGCGTGTACTAGAGTACGAGCGGTGCAAGTGTTCTTAAGGCGCTGAGAGTAAGAAGAGAAAATAAGAAAAAGAAAAAGACCATTAACCATCCAGAGGTAACAAAGAAAACCAATCAAAACCAGAGCCTTACTGACATCGATCCAAGGGATCCAAGGTCAAGCAACGACTTCGGGGTATCCAGGGGTATCACTTTGTCTTACGCCTATGCGCCATTAGATCCGCGCCAGTGAATAACAGAAAAAACCAGACCATTCCATCACAATCTCGTTGGCAGATAACCAGTCTCAGAAAACAACGCGTGAAAAGCGTCGTTGAGTCCATGTTTGAAAATCCCCCGAAGTTCCGTGTGGATATCATTCTTTGCATAAAGCAATGCGCCGAACACTGCAGGCGCTGCATGCACTGCAGGAGGGCGTTCATGCCTTGCGGAAGCCACCCTTGCCGTTGGCGCCACCGGGCCTGGGGCGGGTCCGTGAAGAACCCTCGCCGTTTTTGACTTGGACCGGGGCTCTGCGCCGAGGCATCTTGCGCGGAGGTTCAGAATCGGTATCAGAAGGCTCAGTGGTCTTGCGCTTCGTGTTGCAGGACTTGCTCTTGGTGGATCGTTTCTTCTTTGCGTCGTCTTTCGCTGTCTGTTCCTGCTTGGATTCTTCCACCCACTGCTCATAAAGCTTTGGGTCCCATTGCGGAATAAGCTCAAAGTGAGCGAGGTGCTTGCATTTTTCCTGGTCCAGCTGCTCGCGGGCATGGTAGATCATGCGGTAGCAGTCTTCCTTCGTCTTGTTGGTACCACAGAGCGGCTGGAGGCTGTGCAGTACTGCGATTGGAAGCTCATGAGGCTTCTCCTGATCAATCCTTTGGTATTCAGGTGTGTCAGGATTGAACGCCTGGCCGGAGATCGCAGCCTGCTGGTATTCAGCATCCAGACGACGGCGCTCTTCAAGCACGAACTGAATGGTCCAGAGTACACCGGGCTGTTGCTGGTCAATTAGTTCCAGTTGGCTCTCGATGAAGGCGTATTTGAAGCTTTGCCAAACGGGTTGGTAGGAGCTCCGCTGGTAGTGCTTCCGGCAGGCGTACAACCAGTTCTTGATGACTTTCGTCGCCGTCTTGTTCCTGCCGAAGTAGTCCGACACGATTTTGCGAGCGACATCGAGTGTGTACTGCCCAGTGGTGCACCTGTCGCAGAAACAGCAGTCGAACTCTCTCGTAATACCGTCACTGTCAGCGCCGCTCTCGTTGTCCTTGTCACCGAAGAGGATCTCTCCGACAACCTTGCATTCGTCGAAGCTACGACTCAGAGCGGTGCGGGCTTCAGAAGCAGTAGAGGTGGTTTGCTGAGAAGTGGGAAAGTCGTGGGAGTCAGGCATGAGTTGTCCACCGTTGTGGATAGCTTCGCTGGACGCGGCTCCGACGGGCTGCATGCTGGAAAGATGGGGCAGCTTTTGTGCATCTTGAGAGCCGCTGGAATGGTTGAGGGAACTAAGAGGCGACCCTGAGCTCGGTGAGGAATCTGTCAAATGTTAATCAAACGTCGCAATAAAGACATGGGGGTTCAAAGAGAGCAGCGACCACGATGAAGCGCGACCATCCATGAGCGCGAGCGAAACATACCTTTCTGGCCCTTTAACATGGGCGCGGTCTGGACAACACCCTGCATGGGCGACGCAGTCGACTTGCGGGAAGGGGCATCGACAGGAGACACCATACGGCTGACATCCATCTGTGATCGGATGTCCTCTTGGGTACGGATTCCGTTGCGGGGTTGCGACTGGAGAAGTTGACCGAAATCCTCCTGGAAAGCGGATTCGGCGATAGCGGCGCTGGTGGAGACCTTGGGTTTGCGCGGCATGGTTGTTGTGTGTCGTGACGTCGTCAGAAAGTCTGGTGTTGAAAGTAGAGAAGTGGGCTAGTCGAGAGAGTGGGTGATGGAACGAAGGATGGTTGTCCGGGCAAAGGTGAGAGGTAGCGAGGGACTTATAAGTAAAAGAGCGGACGGCGAGAGTCTGTGGGGTCCGGGAAATGACTGGTGCCAGACTTGGACATGGGACCAGCAAACGCGGCGCGCATCGGCCAAAACATGAATATGCCCGTTAACAGCCAGCTCGAGCCGGGGATATCGCGGCCGACAAGGGCAGCGACGCGACACCTGACTTGGCCTTGTTGCGCTGCACTGCCTCGCCAAGGCCACATGTGCAGTTTGACTGCTCCTGTAAAGCAGCATGCGCTCCCAGATCGCCACCACGAAGCGCAAATACCCTTAGGGCTCGGCTTTGGCTACTGCGAGCTCGCTCCCATGCGAACCAAAGGATCATGGGACGCCGGCCAATGGGATCTTGTCCGGGCGAGCCTAACCATTGATACCCGCAGTTCCGGACTGATAGCTGCATTGCAGAGCCTCGTTAAGCCGGCGTGACCTGGAATCATGAGAGATCCGCGTGTTGAGGAGCGAAGGCGCAGCGCTTCGGCTAGGTTCCTTCCATTGCTGTTTGCTGCCGCCGTTAGGGAAGGCACGAGCTGTCTGACGCGTGAGAGCCTGTTCTGGACATCAGTATCTCCATGAGTTTGCGAGAGACCGCATGACTGCCACCTTCCCTTCCAATTGCCTCCACCTCAGCCTGCAGCGTCAGATCATCTCCAACTAAGCCTCCCTTTCGCATGCCTGGGAAACAGCTTGTTGTTTGGACAGTGAACCGCGCGTCACAGGCAACCATGGGCCATAGGCAATGAGCGGTGTAATGCTTCAAAGTGTTGGCTCAATCTAGGCATGATGTTACAAAGGCACAATGACGCAACGCACAAAACATGGACTGATTGCAAGCAAAGGCAGCATTGACAAAATAGTCTTACAAGAATAACGTCATCATCAAACAACTCTAGTACGCGCAGTCGCCCGCCTCCTCTTCCTCCTCTTCAATCTCCTCGTGGATCATGCCAGCAAACCGTTCCCTCTCTCCTCCAATCAACGGCGCCCTCTCACCCTCCTTCCGTGAATAATGGCTCCCGACACTGATCGCCAGAGTGCTCAACCCATGCACCATCGTCGACCCAAGGACTACAAAGCATACCACAGGCCAGATCACCTCCACTGCTCGCTGACGGCGCAATGGCAAGTCGCCAGGCGGATGGGGCAGTGGCTCTGACGAGTCCGTCTCCAGCTGGGCACGGCTTTCAATGGCCAAGAAGAGCGCGCCAATCCCTATCGGACCAAAGTGACCTGCGAACAGAGCCTCTCGACGGGTTTGGATATCCTTGATCAAAGGCTGGAGGGTGAAGACAACAGGGATACGGCGGAACAGCAGCACGAGGACCAGAAGACCGAGAAGGAGGCCTGGGTTGATACGGAACAGCTCACTTTTCATGGTGAAGGATGACCAGGGGATTATGGAGCCAAAGTAAACGAACATGGTAGAATTGAGCAGGAGGTCGATAATTTCGGCTATGCGCGCCTCAGCGGTCCGTTCGCGAAACCAGCCATCACGGGCGAAGCCAATACCCGCACTGAAAGCAAGCAGGAAATCGTCGGTCCCGAGCGTACTGGCAACTCCGGTGCAGAAGACGGCAGCCAACAAGTAGAAGATTAGGTAGGAAGCGCTTCCGATCATCTCCTTGTCATGGACGAAGCGGAGGATGCGGTTGGCAACCTGACCGATGATGAGACCCAGGAAAGCGCCGAAGATGCATTGCCAGAGGATTGTAATGAAGAACCACTTCCCGAGAATACCACGGACCGTCGTACGAGTGAGGATCGATAAACCAACATAGATGAAGGGGAACGATGCCCCATCGTTGCAAGCACTCTCTGCTGACAACAGGTTCTTCAGTCGCTCCGGGACACGTGTCGAGAACTGGCTGTTTGATAGAACACTGGCAGCAAGGATCGGGTCCGTCGGTGTCAAGCAAGCCGCGATAATCAGCGATGTAACGAAGTCGATATTAAGGACGAAGTGGATGAAAACGGCGCAAACGATCCATCCATACGCCATGACAGGGCCGAGCATGTACGCCACGCTGCGCCAGTGCTGGCTGAACCAATGCGGGGGCAGCTCAATGCCAACAGCAAAACATTGGATCCCAAGGATGATGCGCGTGAACTCTTGCATGAAGACATCGTCGATGCCCCAGTGCTCTGGGTGCAAGATGCCGGCGCCTTTGGGACCGAAAATGATACCGACAGCGGTGGCGAGAGGGGGCTCCGAGAGGTGCAGGCGGTTGCGGATGAAGAGGTCGAAGAGAGCGTAGAGGATGAGGAAGGTGGATAGGACGATGTAGGTGAGGTGCGGTGCCGTGGGCTCGATCTGGGACCAGACCATCTTGCTTTCTTCCGCTACTCTTCTTCTGTCTTGTCTTTTGAATCCTGTCTCTTTCTTCCCAGCAGCGCTCTACTGACTTCTCTTAGACTGGCGACCCAAGCAGCGATGTGGAAACAGAGCGACAGCGAGCAAGAAGTATCTGCTGAGTAGTGTCTACGCAGGAAGACAGTTGCTATGCAGCTCAAAAGAGAACCCACGAGGGCTGTTGTCGCTGCCACAGGATTGCTATAGAGAAGGTAGGTATGATCAAGCGATGTCTGCAATTTGTTTCTTCAGTGAGAAATACTAATCTAGTAGCGCGCTAAATCTTCGATGACATCGGCGCTTGCCTCAAAGAGCAAAGCGGTAGGGCTGGAGCCGACTACATAGGAAGTTTCTCTTCAACGTCGCTTCTTCTAATATTCCCTCAACCTCCTCATAAGTTGGTTTGGATATGGCCAGTCTTGCCCCTAAATGCCTCACCACACTTCAAGTGATCGAACACTCCCACTTTTGGCGTGGAAAGATGCACTCCGGGTGTAAAGACACCTCCTCCGGGTAGGTACACGGTGGCTTCCACGCTGGTGACGCCAATGACGCTGCAACGACCTCATCGCTTGTCATCGCGCGCGTCGCACAGTTATCGTCACAGTTTGTGGCACCTGGGCTGGAAGATGTTCATTGCGATGCTGTTGTGAGTCCTCGGCATGCAAGTCCGACTTCACGACAAAGGCACACTTTAGACGATTTTGGTTAAGAAGGTTTGCGGATTAAAAGGGCTCTGCATGGAATTCTTTATGTTGATATTTGTACATGCTACGGTTTATTTATTTATTTATTTCAATTAACGTTAATGTTTTCTTAGAGCAACATTAGTAAAATCGTCGATGTTTTCCCCCTGTCCTGACTGGCAATCAGTTATAGGTATGCCATCTGGCATTGTATCAGCACGTCGATACGGTTTCCTGACAAGATACTTTTCTGAGAATTTCCATGGCTCAGCCACCGTTCATACGAAGCAGAACCACGTTCCAGCGTGCAATGAGCCCTGGTTGCGAAGAAAGAACATTCTTGAAATAGCATATGCTTCATTACTACCAACAATCATCCTCAGACAGATTACAACCCCCAAACAAGCAGTCATTACCCATACATAGCCATTACACCCTCTCATCGCGCACACCCTTCGCTTAGTTCGCAATCTCGACAACAGCCGGACCAGCCGCAACCGTATCATCAGAGACGACATCCTTGCAGCCGGTAAGCACAACATAGCTCTGACCATTAACACCCTTGGGGACCACAACCTCAAACCCGCCCTCCACCCTCTTCGCATCGACAACAACGGGCCCCGTAACCGTCACAAACGCGCCATAAACAGCAGCGTCCTCCTCCCCGCTCTTAAGCTCGTACCCGGGCGTCGCGAGCATGACGGTCGAGCCCGCCTTGATCGTGCTGTCCTTGCTGCTGGCCATGAGCGCTGGGAATGCCTTCACGGGCAGGGCGGGGTTGCTGCTCGGGCACGCGGATATGAACTGCGCTGCCAGCGTGTAGACTTCGTTGTAGGAAAGGGGATCGTCGAAGGGCTGCGCGAAGGGGGCGGCCTTGAGCGCGGCGCTGCGGATGTACGCGCTGTGCCGCGCTTCGACGGTGAGGATTGAGCCGGCAGCTGTGAGGTACGTCTTCGACATGATGTCTGCGGCTGCGCCGAGGTAGGCGGACACGCCGACGCCTGTGGGAGGAGGAAGTCAGTACTGCTATCGTGGTAAAGAGTAAAGAATGGGAAAAAGAAGGATGGATGGGTGGAGCAGGGGCAGCACGACATACCCTCGAGCACAGAAGCAGTCGCCAAAAAGCCCTTGACGTCGCTGACGCCGAACTTGTACTCGCACTCCTTGACGGGGGTCGCGCCAGCAGCAGCGAGGGCCTTGGTGAGGAAGTCGACGTGCTCGCTCTCGTCGGTAGCGATCGTCTTCAGGTTCGCGTAGAAGGCGGCGTCGAAGCCCGCAGCCGCAAAGTCCGCCTCCGTGTAGTTGGCGAGCCCTTGCTTGTAGAAGTTGTTCTCCAGGTGCTCCAGCGTCAGCGCGTAGTTCAGGATGTCGGCATCTGTGGGGCCGGCGCGCTTTTGGAGGGTCGTGGGTGCGGCGGCGGAGAGGGCCGCGAGGAAGAGGGGGAGAGAGGTGCTGGTCTTCATTGTTGTGGTTGTTGTTGGTTGGGGGAGGGTATTAGGTTTGTGTGTGTAGAGCAGAAGGGGTATTAGGAATTAGGTAGAAGAGTGGATTGATGATGTTGCTGCTGATGCTGCTGGACTGAATGGTTTGATGCCGACCCAAAGCACGAGAACAACGCCCTCTTTAATACCTACCTGCTCCCTAAACCAGCCGCAAGCACTCGCCGCCACGCCCAAGCGATCACCACGGAAGGCCCTCTCCCGAACAAACAAATGACGTGCAGGCTGCGCGCTCGCAGCGACCAAGCATCGCTAGTCCGCCCCCGGGAACAGCCCATCCGACGACTATTGCCAGACAAGGCCGCAGACAATAGCGGTCAAGGCGATCCCTACCAGGGGCAATTTCCCCAGACGCGGAGCCGCACCGCCAAGCATCGCGCGCTAGACACTAGACGCTGTTCGCGTCGGCGGGCGCCCGCGCGCAGCGCACAAAGCGGCTCTTGGCCGCCTTGGCCACCTTGCCCAGCCTAGCTCCTTCGCCTTGGTTCTTGATCAACACCGACCTTTTGCCTGCCAGGGCCAGACCCGACAAAGAGCGTCAGCGGCGGGAGGCCGCTAAGCTTAACGTTAAGCTTTCCTGCGCAGCCAATGCGCGCGCGCCGCGCTAGCCGCTTGCGGTAAGGCGAGGGGTTGGGGCGCGGAATGCGCGGTTCCGGGGCCAGGGATCGGCGGCTATTGATTGCGACCCTGGCCATGCTGGATCTGCGACATTTTGATAGCGGCCGCGCGGGAGCTGGCCCCTGATCCAGGTGGTGATGATGCTGCGGCTTGGGGTTGGGCTGATCGGCGTGTTGGCCGGATGCCCGCTTTCCGCGCCTTGGTCGGCTGCGGGCTTGCGCTTTTGCTGGCGCCGTGAGAGGAGGCCCTTGCTATGCGCGCCGCCGGCTTCTTTGTTGAACGCTTGCGGTGCTGGCGATGGCGCTGTTTTCGTGCTGTCAATGCGGCGGTGCGATGCGGTGAGCGTGCAATAAATGCTGCGCTGCCTGCTTTTTTCTCCCAGCTCATCTTCGTCCTGATTCTTTGCTCTTAAATCTCGATACCAAAGCCTCGTGCTGATTGATACCTTACCTTTTAATAATCCCTAATTTCGAGGGCCAAACCCAACTCTTCAACAATGAAGTTCTTCCTCACCACCGCTGCCGTCCTCGCAGCCGCCTCTCCCGCTCTGGCACTGTAAGTCGCTACCACATCATACCCCAACCAAAAACGTCTCTGCTCACACTCTCCTTCAGAAGCGGCCACAGCAACAGCACCGTCGCAGTGCCCGCCTGCCCCCCGACCTCGTCCTCAACCATGGACGTCGTCACGCGCAGCCCCGTCCCCGTCATGACGCCCAGCGCGCCTGTTCCGTCCTTCTACACCGTCCCGACGAACGAGACGGCCGGCGGCTCTGGTTGGCCTGGTGCCTCGTCCGGCGCGACGTGGAGCGCTACGGCTACGCCTCCGGTTACGTCGCCCTCGTCGCCGGCGTATACCGGTGCTGCGGTGGTTAACCACCCGGTGGCCTTTGGGGGCGTCGTTGTTGCTGCTGCTGCGGGTGTTATGGGATGGGTTTTGTAGAGGGATGAGTGGATCGAGATGTTAGGTGTACGGGTTGGGCTTATGATATACCAGGATTAATGAGGGAGCGGGTTAAAGAGTAATTTGGTGAAGGTTTAGTTAGGTCGCATGCATGGATCCGGAAATTCAACTTGCTTCTTTCGATTCTAAGGCTTGCTCTTGAGTAGCTGACCAGTGCCATCTTGTGAATTGGTTGTCGCGGATTACGGACCGAGCGTGTCGGACCCGGATTTGCGGTGTTGAAATTGTCGTACACGACGTGATTCATTCCAGTAAGTGGTCTTTGGTGTTGTCTTCTCGTGGTCCTTCTTTGGTGGAGAAGAAGATCGGGTTCGGGGACAGGGGGGGGGGTCGCGCTTATCAATACATGGTCAGTGCGTATCTGGTCCCGTGGGGAGAGCATGTGGCCATCAAGGTGCGGGTCAGGCCTCCATCGTCAGAGCTTCATCTCCCTCGTTAACCCCCTCTTTCACTTCTACTCCCACTCTCGTTGTGCTTCTCACCCCCCTATCGCTAGCCGTCAACATGGGCATCACCCAGTCCCAGATTCCCGAGGCCACCGCGCAGGACACGCTGGTGGAGAGGCTGCGTGCTCTGGAGATGAAGCACGAAGCGAAGATCGTGGACAAGGACTATGTTTATCTCGGCGAAGATCCACGTGGGAGCCCTTTGATCCGACTGGGTCGTGCGACTTGCTGACGCTTTGATGGCACGGTGCAGCGCCGAGTTACACGCCGTACCAACAGGATGTCTCCGTTGCGGAGCTAGAGCAGTGGGCGACCGAGCTTCTGCAAGACCCGAAGGTATGCCGTAGTCCACTAAAGAGATGCTGAGATGCTCATGTCAAGCTCTGCAGAACCGTCTCGCTGTTTCAGCCTTCACTACAAATGCCGCGACCTCGATCATCTCCCAGCCCAGCGCTGCCGTCAAGGACCGCCAGGTGTTCAATATCAAGGTACCGTTTGAGGGTGCGCCGGTTACGAACCAGCGCGCGTCTGGACGATGCTGGCTCTTTGCGTCTACAAACGTCTTCCGGGTCGCCATTATGAAGAAGTACAGGCTTAGCAAGTTCGAGCTGAGCCAGGCGTACCTCTTCTACTGGGACAAGATTGAGAAGGCGAACTACTTTTTGGAAAGTATCTTGGACACGGTGAACGAGCCTCTTGATGGCCGTCTCCTGCAGACGCTGTTGGCCAGCCCGGTCGGAGACGGCGGACAGTGGGACATGGTTGCCAATCTCGTAGAGAAGTACGGGCTGGTAAGACTTAACTGAGGATAATTTTCGATGGAATTGAAGATACTGACGTGCCTTGGCAGGTCCCGCAAGCGCTATACCCAGATTCCTTCAACGCCATGAACAGCTCTTTGATGGACCGCCTGATCACCACCCGGCTCCGCGAGCATGCCTTGAAGCTCCGCAAACTGGCATCCAACAAGTCACCCAGCACGATGTCCTCGCTGGCTGGAGCAAAAGACAAGATGATGCGGGAAATCCACCTGATTTTGACTCTAATGCTCGGGCCCCCTCCCTCACCCACAAAGGCCTTCACGTGGGAGTACTACGACAAAGACGGTAACTTCCACACGATAATCACGCGCCCCACGGCCTTTGCAAAGGAGCTCTCAGACAACCGCACCGTGCGCGCCTGCGGCGGAACCGACGTGCACCGCCTCTTCAGCTTGGTCAACGACCCACGCAACGAGTACAACACCCGTCTTTCGGTCTCGCGCCTGGGCAACGTGTGGGGCGGGCGACCCATCAACTACGTCAACGTCTCAATGGACACCATGAAGCCCGCGGTCATCGAGATGCTGAAGCGCGGCTTCCCGGTCTTCTTCGGCTGCGACGTAGGCAAGTTCTCGGACTCGAAGAAAGGCATCATGGACACCGCGCTGTTTGACTACGAGCTGGGGTTCAATGTCAAGCTGGGCTTGAGCAAGGCGGAGCGCCTGATGGTTGGCGAGAGCGCCATGACGCACGCGATGGTGCTGACGGCCGTGCATGTGGACGAGGGAGGGAAGCCGGTGCGCTGGCGCGTGCAGAACAGTTGGTCTGACACTGCAGGCGACGAGGGGTACTTTGTCATGAGCGATGAGTGGATGGACGAGTTTGTCTATCAGGCTGTTGTGGATTTGAGCGTCGTGCCGAAGGAGGTTCGGAAGGTGCTGGAGCAGGAGCCGCGCATGCTGGAGTTGTGGGATCCTATGGGGTAAGTGTTTTCTTTCCTGTGTTGCTGGGCAGTGCTAACGAATGTACAGCGCACTTGCTTGAGAGAAGCGACGGTAACGATGGATGCTGGGTACTTGGGAGGTTTTCGGGTTATGTGGGCGTTTGGTTGGGGATTATCTGTGGAGATGGGCTGGTGTTGCTGATGTGGCATTCGCGAATGCTGAGGCGGGAATGTTGGATGTTTTTGGGGTTTAGAGTAGAATGTATTGTTTTCTACATTGCGGACTCTGGGTGCGTTGCTGTGGGTGAAGTGGGATTGTGGAGATAGGTAGTGTCGATCTGTGAGATCGGCTGGGAGTGGGTTGTTGATATGTTTGATGTTTGATGTGGAGTTTTGCGTGGTGCGGGGAATTGGTGGGGGAAACGGTCGTCTATGCTAGCATTCTTGAGCTGCGGCTTGTGGGACTTTTCACAATGACCTGGTTGACGGGTTGAGGGATGCTTTTTGTTCGTCGGCGTGCATGCAATGGGCAGGGAAGACTTCTGGTGTTGTTGGCTTTTTTCGGCATCGACATTTTCTGCTCCCCGGACCCCAACAACGGCCCGAAGCGCCCAGTGTGCCTACACCCCGCGACCCTGCAGGTGGCGGATATACCTTCCTCTTACGGTATAGCTTTCAAATTGCTTAACTAATACAGGATCTAGCGCTATCACAAGCGTCATTTATACTCCGTTCCATTCCACTACATCCCGAGTTCCGCCTACCAAAATGCGGGCCTCAGGTTCCTGAGTCACCAATTTCACGTATCTGACAACGTTTCCCAGGCTATAAAGGCAATTGGCAGGATCCCGCCCATCGACTTCGCAGTGGTAGAAACCGAAGCTCCCAGGACGACGCAATGGCTTCCGCCAACATCTCTCTTGACCCTTCCATGGGGCACACGGGGGTGCACCGGCTGATAGGGACCTCTTCCTCCAACATCTCGCTGCTGGCCACGATCCTCGCCGTCATCCTGCCAGGCACATACCTGCTGCTGCGGTACCTCAGCGCAAAAATCGGGCCCAAATCCCTCGCAAACACGCCGCCGCTCCCGCCGCCCACGCGCATCGTCGACCTCCGCATCTACCCCATCAAGTCCTGCCGCGGCTTCTCAGTCCCCTCTGCAAAACTGCTCAAAGCAGGCCTCGACCTCGACCGCAACTGGATGTTCGTGACAGCCGCCGACCACAAATTCCTCACCATCCGCACAAACCCCAAAATGACACTGATCGAGACATCCTTCGACGCGGACAACGACACCCTCCGCATCAGCATCAAGAACCACCCCGCCAGCGCCGGCATCGCCATCCCCGCGCACCCGACCCGCGCCTGGCTGAACGCAAACACGACGCCCTGCGCCGCCGAGATCTGGTCCCAGGAGACGGACGCCTGGGCGTACGCCTCGGAGCTGACGCAGCCGCTCGCCGCCTTCCTGGCCCTGGATGTCCGCCTCGTCTATAAGGGCCCGACGCCTCGCGTGCTCCGCGGCAGCGGCGCTCCTGACCGCCTCGGCCGCACTGCGGATACCCGCTTCGCGGACATGATGCCCGTGCTCGTGGGCTCGCGCGCGAGTCTGGCCGAGCTGAACCAGCGGCTTCAGAGCGAGGGCGAGGCCGAGATCGGCATCGAGCGGTTCCGGCCGAACGTTGTTGTCGAGGGCGGCGAGCCGTGGAACGAGGACGTGTGGAAGACGCTAAGGATTTCTGGCGCTGGTGCCAGTGCCAGTGCCAGTGCTGGTACTGGTGCTGGTGGTGATGGCAAAGCATTAGTGCTCGATGTCGCGTGCCGCTGCCTGCGCTGCCAGGTCCCGAATGTGGACCCCGAGACGGCGGAGAAGCATCCGCGCCAGCCGTGGAAGCTGCTCACGTCGTATCGGCGCATCGATCGCGGCTTGAAGGGCAAGCCGGCGTTTGGCATGCTGTGCGTGCCGCGGGAGGAGGGGACCGTCGAGGTGGGTATGTGCTTGGAGGTTTTGGAGACGACACATGATCACTTTTTTGTTAGTCCGATGAAGTAGTTAGTGGTGGTGGATGAGGGGGGAAGAGGATGGCTCTGCTTGGGTGCATGCGTTGGGGTGGGGTTTGTTTGTTGGAGATGTCAGTTTCATGAAAATACTAGATCTTTCGTACTTAAGTTGGGAAAGATTCTATCTACTCTCTAAAGAGCTTGGGAAACTTGTGTCATTTGTGGTTTACGTCGAGAGCAAACGCAAGTGAGTTCCTTAAACGGGATGTTGTTGCACCTCAACAGCCTCACTCCCTAAATCAGGCATGTTTGCACGCAAAGATGTGTTGTGAAGCTGGGCGCGAGGAATTGGACGCCGCTTGTCCTTCTAGATTACTGTTACCTATGGAGGTATATATGCTGCTATCTAAAAGAA